GGGGTATGGATCTTTTCTGGAACAACCCATTTTGCACAGTACCTCACAGTCGGATTTTGAGGGGAGGTGTCGGCATCTCCCCTGGAAATTTATGCACCACCTCCCCTTGGGAAAGGTTAAATGCTATTAACAAAGTCAAAATTTAACTCAAACTTAACATTTAACTTTGCCGTCTGTTACTGAATTTTTATGTGTTGCTTAGTGTAGTATATTTATTTATAATACTTTGTAACAACTAGGCTGTTGTGATATTGAAAAAGTCAAATATTGCAATATATCAATATTTCAAAAATATTGTGATTTATCGATATTTCGCAACAGCCTAGTAACAATGTTTTTCTGTTCTGTGTCAATTTTTTTATACTTTTTTTTCTTCGTGGTTTTCGCAAGTTTCTACAATTTTTGGTTAGGTTAGGGTTAGTTTTCAGGGTTGTGGTTCCGTTTAGTGGTTTAGAGTTAGCTTTGTCAGATTAATAGCCGTGTCTGAAGCAGGAAGATCCGGTGTCGGACGAATATCCATGGCGTAAACTTTTTCCGGGTACTTTACACTTTACCGTACCGCAAGTATTTGATGGTGAGTGTTCTGACGGTTTTCCGTTCTTTAATTGGCGTGTTTTGATGGCGTATGTATTCAGTGATTACTCCGGTACGGTAAAGTATAAAATTTCCCTTTTTCCTCCTCCCGCAACATTCCCCACAAAATCCGGCATTGCAGTACCTTCTTGTCTTCATTGTGAAATTCAGCTTCTGTGATGGCTCCTTGTTCAAAAAGAAACTTCCTTTCCTCTTTGGTTACTTCGTGATATTGTATCTCAGGATATTTCTGCAACAGACTATCTTCTTTCAAATATTCACAGACATCTCGTTCCATCAAGTAGTACTCTCCGATATTGTCTTGTGGCCATTGATATTCAAATGGCAATGTTTCTAACGTTTCTGTCTGCTTCTTTGGTAAGTTCTCCTGCTCAGCAGTCGTTTCAGTGGCAGACATCCCGAAAACTGGCAGTAAACATCAAATTAAACATGGCTTTGTTCTACAAATTAATAAAATTTGTCCGCCATGCTTCTTCTTGCTTTTCAAAAGAAAACCAAACGAGGACGCTAATTGGTCAATTTTTATAATTTGAACTATATATAAAACTGGATTGAGAAAAGGGTTTCCACCTTCTTGAAAGAAATTTCAATTTACTCTTAGAAGAAATATCCAATTAAATTCATGTAAACCGTAAAAACGCATAGTTGGAAACGTTAATGATAAGAAAACTCTACTGGTCTACGAAAATGTTTGATAAAAATCATAGAAAATATCACCAAGTGATGGGAAATGTTTGGAAATGTCTGAAATGTTTTGAAATGTTAGAAAATTTTACAAGATGGAGAAAGGCAAATTGAAGGCTTATAGTGGAAGCTCTACATTCCCATGATCCACTTGGTTCTTCACAAATCACATCATTGATCGTTCTTCGTGGCTCGTGGCGAAAGAAGTTTATTTTTTTGAAAATTAATTTTATATTTTAACTCAAAATGACGGCGTTTTTACCATCCAATCTTCTGGCATTATTTGCTCCGAGGGATGCTATTCCATATCTACCACCAATGGATAAACTTGGTCATCAGAAAAAGCCATGGCCTTACGTTGGAGTCTCCAATCTTCTAGCCATGTTTGAGGTAAAACAAAAATATGCTATATCAAATCATATATTTGTATATATATTCTGATACCTAGAAATAAAATATGTCTACCACTAGAGGGTTTAGTTTTGCTAAATATTTCTTTATTGAACAACAGCGTTTAAATTAAAGCGATAAAATTGAGTACTCATCAAATCATCTGTCATCATCAAACTATTTTATATTTGTAATATCTGATTTTAGAAATCGAAGTGGCTATATCTACAGGCCCGTAAACAGACTTCGCCAGGCTATATTTACGGCACTCTCGTTCTTAGTCTCCATATGGCCTGTATTTATCGTTAAAGTCAAATTAAAACAAAAATAACCCTATAAACCCCAATCCTTCCCTAACCTCTAACCCTAACCCCTAAAAAATTAAAACTAGTCAGAAAATAAAGTTAAACATGTTTTCTTAAGGCGAACAAAAAACCGTCACAACTTGGATTCGAACCCGCGGACTACAACACAGCAGCCATTTGCCTAACCTTCTGAGCTATTTCCGAGCTCGCTGAAATCCTTTGTAAACAATACGCTTTATAGTGCCGGTTTGGTACATAGAGTGCCGTAAATATAGCCTGCCGAAGTCTGTTTACGGACCCGTAGATATAGCCACTTTGTTTAGAAATGTTTACCTGACCCTCCCCCCCCCTCCCGGCCAAGCAAGGCCGTAGGGAAGAGGTTGGAGCAGGGGGGTGTAGTATCGTATTTGCCAACAACATTTCTGCCACTAATTCTGGGCTTTCAAAAATAGCCGGCGACCGTCAGAGCTCAGGCCCAGGGTGCATTTTAAGTGTTATATGCCAAAGATTGGTGAATGGCGTTCTTGGTGTGTTTTAAAATTTTTAATTACTGGCACAAATAATGATAAATTTTAAATAAAATTACGACATTAATAAGATGTTCCTTCGAAAGTCGAAATGAACACTTTGTGATACTGTCATAAAGTACATTCTAAAGCTTGGCATGTAATTTCAATGTCACGGGTGAAATTTGAACCTTTCTCATGTCTTAGGCCACATAAAATAAATTCCTTGATTCTCATCACTACACTTTGAAAATGTCGAAGAGGCGGGAGGTTTATATTTTATATTTATATAATTTAATATGTATCAATAAATAAAAGTGTCACAAACTGAAATAAACATATTTCTCAACGAACAATGACTGGCCCTTGAACTGAATGCGAAGTTCCGTTAAAATGCAATGAAATTTCTTTCAAGGTTCTATTTGTTTGAAACTGGCAGTTTAAAATGGCACTAAAAACCCAATATAAAATATAAAAAACTTAACTGTCTTGAAATATTTTGTCGGGCGGTACATTTATATTGTATAACAAAATATAAAAAAATTTCATGCGGCTCTTAAAATACAGTCGGGCGGTGATGAGAATCAAGGAATTTATTTTATGTGGCCTTAGTGTGACCTTGTTTGAGTGCCGGCTTCTCTGCGGCGTGGCCTTAACTAGGGGTGCACCGGATTTGGAATTTTCAAATCCGGCCGGAACCGGATTTACCGGATTTGCCGGATTTAAAATAAACCGGTAATGGGGACAATGGACCATTTGCATTATAGACTAAATTTTGATCTAGACAAAAATTTCATCACAGCTTGAAAGAGCATCACAAAATTAGTAATATTCCAAAGTTTCGTTGCGAAATGTTGTAAAATGCGGATAATATAGCCTTGCGAAGTTTGCCGTTTTTTAGTCATTTTGTATTACGCACGGGAAATTGACAGCCCAATCGGGTGTTGGGGCATCAATTTCCCATTTGTAATACAAAATGACTGAAAATTGCAAATTTCGCAGGGCTATATTATCCGCATTTTACAACATTTCGCAACGAAACTTTGGAATATTACTAATTTTGTGATGCTCTTTCAAGCTGTGATGAAATTTTTGTCTAGATCAAAATTTAGTCTATAATGCAAATGGTCCATTGTGGATAAATCAGTATTCAAAATGGCGGTTTATGTTTTTTACTATTTTTAGTTAGTGTCAGTTTAGATTTTTGATTGTGTTTAAACCTTTTTTAAATATTTTTTGTTAATAACTTAATATTTTATAATAATATAAGTGTTTTTTAAACTCTGAAGCTGCCAAATTGATGGTTTATCCCATTCTTGGTGAATTTTTAAGGTGAAAACAGAAATTTAAATCCGGCCGGATTTTCTCCAAATCCGGCCGGAATTCCGGCCGAATTTAAAATCCGGTGCACCTCTAGCCTTAACATAAAATGCAGCCCAGGCAGGGTTCAAATTAACAGATACTATCTGTTTTTGGGATTTTGCTACTCATTTTGCTATACAGTAATATAAAAAAAATCACTATTCAACCTGAGAAGATTTCACATGTGAAAAAGTAAAATGGATAACACTGGAAACGTTTGTTTTCAAACAATTCTTTGTGTATTTTGAGGCGAATCATTCTCTCATATGCGCTGATATTTCTGAATAGACAATAGAATTCTGTTGCGTTTCCTAATGGCCTCAAGCTGTGTTTTGATTTGATGTTTTAATATATGATCAATGTGTCAAAATCCACTTAGGAAAGGTCAAATGTCATGCTACTTGTTCAGGCAACCATAATCAGATTTGAATTTCACAATACTTGGGTTAAATATTGCACACATTTTTATGGGTGATATTGGAAATTGGAATTATTTAATTTTACATTGTTGTTTTTTCACTTTTCTGTGTTGTTTATAATCTTACAATACTACCAAAAAATAAAGACTGCTGAATCTTTATTATATAACAGCTTTTCTGGTTGAAGATCGAAAGCTCAATCCTTTTTCACTATACATACCAGGTGATCTCGTGTTTGTATTTGAGCCAATCAGTGCTCAGAAAGGGTTGTCCAAATAGAAATCCATTTTGATGTATTCAGTCAATTATATCTTTCATTATTCTTTTACTTTATGAAACTAGCTGAAATTTTGTAATTATGTTTGGTTATGAGAACTATAGCTCTGACAAAAATATGGAATCGAAATAAAGTATATTACAGGAGATATTCAGTTGTTTTAATCATAAAATGGATTTCTATTTGACAACTAGTGCCAGTACTTTTCCGCGTATCAAGATCACCTGGTAGTGGAAATTCGCTATTCACTTTTTATTGCATGAGTCAATGAGTAGAAATTCGCTATTCACTTTTTATTGCATGAGTCAATGAGTAGAAATTCGCTATTCACTTTTTATTGCATGAGTCAATGAGTAGAAATTCGCTATTCACTTTTAAATAATTTAACCCTGCCCTGGGTTCCAGCAGGTGTTACAAAGTTTATTGCCGGTTACTTTATTTAAAATATACAGCATGTGCAAAACTCATTAAATAAGGTCTAAAAAAATACCTACAGTGGGTCCGGTTTCATATACTGAAAAAATTAGGGTAGGTAGGTTGGAAATAATTTTTTTAAATATTTTTTTTTCATGGTTTTGGCGGGGTTTTTTTGCTAGGCGATTTTCAGTACAGTCCCGACATGAATATTAATTAATTAAATAGAGATGTATATTTCCTATGGACGAATTTGGTATTTTAGTTCAATAATTATTGTGACAACAGACACCATTTTGGCTGTATGAGCAGCCCGCAACCACCCACTCTCAATAATCGTCTCTTCAGCTAATACTGTCATGAGTCCTATAATACATTAAGTTTTATGGCAAAAATCAAACAAGTATAAAGTGTGCAAAAAGGATGACTCGTCGACTACATTTGCAAGACTGTCAAAGATTGTTTTGCTAGTAAAATGATTCCTTTAATTATGGACAGCCACCTACTTTCACACAACGACCACTTACTTGATTCTGAAAGCTCTGATTAATCTTTTCCCAAAATTGTTACTTTTTTATCTGAGCCACTCAAATATTTTACTCGCTGATTCTAAAAACGATTTGCTGATAAAACTGTTATTTTGCCGAAAAGAGGTTTTCAGAGGGTGTCACCACCCCTATAGCGTACAGCACTGTGGCCAGGGTGCATTCCATGTAAACTCTACGCCAGAGATACGCCCAAATTTGCTGTTGATCATACCAATATTGGGGACTAAAACCATTGAGTACACGATGCTTGGTGAGGTCTACTTGATTTCAGCTAATGCTTTCTCCTCATTATCAATCTCATACCCAGAGCAATGCCTGTGCGTGGGTGAGGGAGCCATTGGCTCTGGGGAAATAGAATTTTTCCTGTGCTGTGATTGGTTTAACATTTATGAATAGTGCATGCCAACAACAACCTGAACCCTAAATTTAGGGGTTCTGGTTGTCTATTTCCCCAGAGCCAATGCCTTCCTCGCCCGCGCACAGGCATTGCTCTGGGTACGAGATTGCCTCGTTGATCTGGCCTTGTTGTGGCTCTTACAGCCAGTACTTGCACAGGGGGCTCAACTACTGTAAGTAACAAGTGTAAAATAATCAAAATAATAAACTTACTTAAAAGGATTTGCATGACTATATTCTTCAGAAGAATGTCGATATGAATGGAAAAAGAGCATGCATTATCAATATGAAGTACTATAGAATTCTCAACAGGTAGGTAATGCAGGCACGTATGAGGTAATAGCATTATTAATAATAGATTAATTAATAGAAGGGTTGAAACACCGGTCACATGTTCATTCGATGTTTACCAAGAGTTGCCTATCCACTCGGAGATTTCCGATCGCTGTTCGGAAATGCATCTCAAAACTATTTTTGATTATAGAGCAATTTCTGATCATTTACATTGAAACTATATATAGTCTATACCAGTGCCAACCAATCACCGCTATTTTTTAAATCTGAATGCAAATCCGAGCATCTCACGAGTGCCAAACTAGTTCATCCGACTGGATAGGCTAGTCTTGGTAGACATGTCGTGGAAATCGCGAAGAAAGCTTGCTGTTAAAAATCATTTAGGGAAGGGTTTATCTATGTTATTTCTTTACGTCTAGATATCTTCGTTCGTCTAAGAGAATGCTAAATACATTGTAAAATAATCAAATTATGTCAAAACGGTTAAATTTAGCATTTTGGAATATCATGTGACTGGTGTTTCATCCCTTCTATTAGTAATTTATATATTATATTAATTATGCTATTACCTCATATGTGCCCGCATTACTTACCTGTTGAGGATTCTATAGTACTTCATATTGATAATTTTTTTGCTCTTTCTCCATTCATATCGACATTCTTCTGAAGAAGTTATGCAAATCTTTTAAAGTAAGTTTATTATTTTGATTATTTTACACTACTGTCTTGTTACTGACAGTAGTTGAGCCCCCTGTGGTACTCGGGTTAATGATTCAAAAACTCGGGACCTTTCCACCAACTATGGTTTCTAACTAGTTCGTCTGCAGAACAACTTCTTGAGGGTAGATCGGCTATATTGATCTCTCCCAGATAAAATCTCCATTTCCGTCTCGCAGTCGAAAAGTTGCCTGATTTCTTCATACGTTCTTCCCTGTTTTAAACATAAGGCTTGTATGTTGTGTCATTTTGGATCCAACACCAGACGGTGTAAGAATCGTTCCACAAGAACACTTTGGGAGGCATTTTTAAAGAGCTCATCGCGTCTTTGACAGATTTGACATGTCTAGCTAAAATAGTTGCTCCAAGCAACTCTAAACGAGGTATAGACTGACGTTTTATTGGAGCTACTCGTGTCTTGAACGCCACTAGATTAATTTAATACCTCTCCCTTTAACTCATCGTCCCAATCACTTTTGCTGAGCATAAGGCTTTCGTTTTAGTTGTGAATCAACGTTAGTTGAATTAAATATAGTTGAATTTGTCAACAGGAGGCAGGTTTGGATTGTTATCAGCAGCACTCATCGTCCCAATCACTTTTGCTAAACATAAGGCTTTCGTTTTAGTTGTGAATGCATAGGGTTAACAGTCCGATGGGATCGAACATTTTTGTAGAGAGCTGTAGGACTGGTCGCTTTGTAGCACTAGGAAGGGTAGTGGTATCTTTCGACCATTTAACATTGTTATGGAAAAGTGTGTCCTCGTCAACATTCCAGGGTATTCCTAGAACCTTGACTGGGTCGTATCTTGTTTTGAATTTCTGAGTACTCCCGGGGTATTTTCTGCTTTATCGTTGGCTTCTTGTTGATTTCAGCTCTATCTGTTGCTATCTTTTCTTGCAAGTGTTTTGAATTCGTATGCCATTTTCGTAAGGTAAAACCTCCCGAACTCATTAACGTCTGGGATCACTCGTAGACTTCAACTGCTTCATTATTGTCAAAAGCACCACCAGCGAAGTCATCTACATGAAATGATTTCCGCAGCAAGGATCTTGGGTTCCTTTTCTTCAATCACAGCGAGATGTTGCTGCAGTACGGACGTTAGAAAAGCAGGACTTGAGACTAGGCCAAACACTAATCGACAGAATTGGTTTTTTCGAATTTCGGGTCTTTCTTTGCTTGGATCACCGAACGGCAAACCATGGTAATCTAACCATTCGTCGGTTTTCTGGCGCAATCTTTACTTGATGGAATGCTTTTTCAATGTCTGTGACCATACCGATTGGGTATCCTCTGAAATTGGTGATCATGTGAAACAGGTACGGAATCAAGTTGGGGCCTTTTTCTGGACAGTCGTTGATGGAAACACTGCTGTTATCGGGTTTTGCTGAAAACACCACGCACCACTTGGTAGTTTCTTTGTCTTGCCGAACGACGCCGTGATGTGGTAAATAGTATCAGTATCATACTCTTTAGGTACTGGTTCAATTATGCCAGAAGCTATTTGTTGTCGAATAATCTTATCATATTCTTGGGGCAGATCTTTACCTTTTTTAAGACGTTATGGAGTCTTAAGAGATTCGCACACGATATATATCCATTTGATGCAGGATGAGATTCTGATTTCCATGGCAGGTTTACTTCGTAGTGCTTCTCATCGTTGCGGTATATTAACTCTTTGAGGAAATTATCATCTGGATCCCAAGTGATTCAGTGTGGATGGGCCTCCACAGATAGATTCATCGAGAGGGGCGAGCATATCTTTGAAAAGGTAAGAGCAGAACTTTCAAGGTTTTCGGGTCGTGCTTCAAGCTTTATCTTAACTTCATGGCAGCATTGCTTCGTTACTCTGTCATCTCCAAATGTATATGCTATAACTTGTTGGGTTTTGCCAAATCGATTATGGAGTATTTCGACAGCTGATTTGTAGTTTTCGTCCGTGATCGTCAGTCCTTGTATTGCTTGCAAACCATGACCTTCTAGCAGTGAATATAAATAGTTGAATTTGTCAACAGGAGGCAGGTTTGGATTCTTATCCGCAGCACTCTGAAAACCATCCCGAAGGTGCGAAACTTAGTTATTTCATGACCATTACAAATTGGACCATAGATACTTGATAAGCTTCTTGATTTGAGTGTCCAATACGCTTGATTTTGTAAACTCTCTCTCAGATTCTTCGATGTCTTTTTCAATGTCTTTACTAAAGCTAAGTTTTCGTTGAGGAGCTTGGAGGAGGAGCTAAACGATCTACACAGGAAAAAACGCCTAGCCTGTAACAATGTTGTTGAAAACAGGCCTGAACAATATTTTGCTGCCCATATTGTTCCTGGTTGTTAACAATATTGTTCAGCATTGTTTAACATATAAATATTGTTCAGGCCTGTCTTCATCAACATTGTTACAGGCCAGGCGTTTTTTCCTGTGTAGTTTAGATTGACTTCGTAAGGACCCCTCGATTGGCAGAGCGAATTGCACGTTTTCGCTCAATGGTTTCGCTCATATTTCTTCGTCAAAATATAAATTAAACGTTGTTTGACTTGTTTCTTCGGTTAAAATTCCCCACGTTGGGCGCCATGAACTGCACGTCGCAGTTAAATGTAATATAAACATTATAGTTTAAAATAAAATATAAGTTGAAATTCGTTATAAACGTGTTTTTCGATTCAATAAAACAACATAAAGCGTCTTGTTTGTGACATATTGTTCGCTATGACAAAAGTAGTGACGAGAAATTAACCGTTCACAACATTATACATGGAAATTTTGAGTGTCAATTTTTGACATTTACTGTATTAAGACCGATGTACACTAGACAACTTTTGCCTAAAACTGTCGCATGCAACCTGCTTACAACTTGAGTTGTACTGTGTAAATCAAGCACACAACTCACCTGCGTTGTTGGTACGTCAGTTGTGTGCTTGATTGACACAGCGCAACTCGAGTTATAAGCAGGTTGCATGCGACAGTTTTAGGCAAAAGTTGTGTAGTGTAAATCGACCTTCTAAAGACCTAACCAGGAGCAGCTATGCTAAATGCAACTAGCGACCTCCATACATCTGCGGCCCTGCGATTCCGTTGCACCACTCTAACCAACTCATGATGAGCTACAGAGGGTAGTTGTCGAGCTCTAAGCTAGATAGACTAGCCATTTAATGACCCATTTCATCTTTAGTCTTGCATACAACATAGGGCTTTCAACCTGCCACTCCATTATAATGATTTGTTTGAATTTGTTTGCAGGATCCCAGTGAAACTCCACCTCCAACAAGAGCAGAAAATAGAATAGAAAAAACTGAACGCAAAGTAAGTACTAAACTGTAGTTTCTCTGAGCACACCTTTTAAGCAGGCTTTGTCTTGATGAAAACAAACTGTAGTTTCTGTCTGTTCCGAGGTGCCTTCTTTCACGCTCCTACTATACCACAAGAATGATATTTTTGCTGTACGTACGTAGAGGGTGAACGGTCTGTGGCAGTACTGCCAATCTGAAGCTTTCTTTAGAGCTTTTCATGTCAGTAACATTCCTGTGAGTGTGAAAGTTTCATAGATAAGTTATTTATTTATTAAACTTGGCCAACACAAACGTACATACAAACATGACATTTACAACAGTAAAACATGTACATCACTGAATTTGATTTAAATTTATTAAATGACATTCCCTAAAATGGGCTTTTCAATGACAATTCACATAACTTTTAAAATAAATTA